ATATATATATATATATATATATATATATATATATATATATATAATTATAGAATCACCAAGTTGCTCTGTAAGGTATTAATGGGTTTATTTGGCATATTTAGGGGTTCAAGCACGCAGTGCTGAAACCCTATTGTAATTGTTAGGATTTTTATTATTATTATTATTATTATTCTTCCCTAAAACTGAACGGGCAGAACAAACCGTAAGGCCTAGAGAGCTGAAACTTGGTCAAAAGGTAGTAGTCTTGCTCGCTACTCAGGTGCAAAGAGCCGGCCCAATCGGCCAAAGAGGGGCGCTACAAGCGCAAAAAAAAAAAATTTCAGACATTTTTGGCCGTAGCTGGTAACACCATTTGTCGTAGACTCAAAAATTTTACATCGTACTCTCTAGATCAATAATTATCAAAAAACTGTTGAATTCTGTCCTTTGGTTAGCTATAATGGTGTCATTTTAAAAGGGGTATGGCCAAATATACACAAAAGTCTATAAAACCTAAAAGAAAACTCAAAACTTGGTGAAAACATGTGACAGAAGACACTTAACAAACGTGCAAATTTTCATACAGATCTGAAAGTAGGTGGCGCTATAACAGTTAAAACAGCCTGAAAAAACAGTATTTCTATGGTAAATTACCTCAAATTGCAATAAAATGTTCATATAGTCACTTATACACTGTATCTTCATATCATGTGATAGATCTTCTCATTCTGAATAACTTTACCTCTGGGACCAAAGCTGTCAATCAAACTGTTCTTTAAGTATTTGACATTATTTAAAAAACATACTTTTGTGAACTACTCAGTTTTTAACTCAAAATCAATCAAATCAGTGCAGTACTATTCTCTAGACTCTCTAGGTCAATAATTATCAAAAATTTTTGCATTTGGACAACTATAACCTGGTCATTTTATAATATGTTCTTTACATAGTGTACCCAAAGGCCTATGAATCCTAAAATAAAGTGCAAAATATCTCTCAAAACTGTGAAAAATGATGCATAATTTCATTCTAAACAAGCATGTAAAATTTAAGAACGATTGGGCAAAACAAATAACCCTATTATAGTTATAAAGGTTAAAAACACCGTGTTGTATGAGAAATTGCGATTATAACCACTAGATAGCAGCGTAAGACCACTAATGGGCTCATTAAATGCACTGAAACAGTACTGTTCATAGGTTAGCTTATGGAGTCATGCTAAGACATTATAAAATCACTGTTATAACATTTAAAATCACATTGAGTCAAAGTTTACCATTTTGTTCATACAGACATATCAGTTTTTACAATTATGCCAGATTATGATTACAGTGAAACCTGAAAATGACATGTAAACTCTTAAAAAGAGAAGACTTGCAATAAGTTTTGTGTCACCTATCATTTATTTCAAATATCTATATCTAAAACAAAATGTGTGTGCATGTATGTCTGTGTGTCTCTGTGTGTTTAAGTATGCTTATTGAGTATTAATAAACTAGTTTAATAATTTCATTTCAGTGTATGTGTGTGTGTGTGTGTGTGTGTCTGTGAGCATATTCTCCATTTTGGATGTGTTTTACTGTCAGCCATACATCCAGGTTGGCGTAGACCCCAAAATATACCACCTTAAATGCCTTTATGTGCTTGAACCCCGGTAATTAATGCTTGCAGCTATATTTCTATTTGTAATAATTTATTTCGTTTGTAAATGACAAAATAAATATAATTTTAACTATTGTTCTGCATGTTATTTATTATCGTTAAATTAAACATTGTGGTGTCATATTTTCCAGCATCCCTGTGAGCCTACATAAGAGAATGGAGAATGGATGGATGTCATATATATTAGAATTATATAGTCCATCAGCCACCCTGCTCTCTAAGATCTCGGTCATCAAAAATCCATATAGTTTGACCACAGATCTCCTAAACACACTAAACACAGACGTAATTGTGTAGGCCAACCCAAGTTAGTATTACCCTGGTTCTCTTTTTCTATTGGCTTTTGGATTACTCCAGAAAATAAGCTCCGTTACCAACAAAAGTTTATGAATATTACACATTTTATTCATAATCTTTATAAATGAACAATTTTTATGAAGTTTAAGTTGAAATACAATAGCCAGGAGAGAGAGAGAGAGCTAAAACTAAGCTATAAATGAACAACACTATGATTGCATGACCTCATTGTCACCAAGCTAAGCTTCTGACAACTTTAAAGTTTACAATCTATGAGTTGGAAATTTTGAGTTAGAATAGTTTGCAAGAATACAATTATAAACACTGTGAGGCAGTAATAGAAGAATATATAGCTTGAGTACGTAGATGAGTTTTCCTGCTCGGCACGATGGCAACCTCTGTATAGTCCCATTTAGCCATTTGTTAGCAACCACCTTTTTCAAGACACAAAAGCTTAAAAAAGTAGGGTTTTACTGATATAGTTTATGACGTACACGTCTTTCCAGGTTTGTACGTTTTTCTCAGTCAGTTTGACACATTTCTGAGGTAATTCAGAATCAGCTACTGTTTTGTTATTTGTTTAAGTATTTGCTATTGACTGATCAAATGCGGAGTTTTGCGCATCGTGTGTGTGTGCGCGTGCGAGCGAGAGAGAGGTGTGTGTGTGTGTGTGTGTGTGTGCATGATCGTGCCAGCGAAAGAGAGAGAGAGGGTGGTGTGTGTGTGTGTGTGCGTGCGCGTGCGAGCGAAAGAGAGAGAGAGAGCGGTGTGTGTGTGTGTGTGCGTGCGTGCGAGCGCGAGCGAGAGAGAGAGAGAGAGCGAGAGAGAGGTGTGTGTGTGTGTGCGTGCGCGCGCGAGCGAGAGAGAGAGAGAGGAGTGTGTGTGTGTGTGCGTGCGCGCGCGAGCGAGAGAGAGAGAGAGGAGTGTGTGTGTGTGTGCGTGCGCGCGCGAGCGAGAGAGAGAGAGAGGAGTGTGTGTGTGTGTGCGTGCGCGCGCGAGCGAGAGAGAGAGAGAGCGAGACACATCACAGGGGAGTCAGCTGTCTTAACCGTGGCTTGTGTACTGCAAACACATTCATCACTGTGTCTGTCACGAGACTCTGTTCCCCTTTCGGGCTCTGTCTTTACATTTATTTTGAAAGATGAAGCTCGCGATTATGGGAAGTACATTTCCGACGAGTGTTTGCGGTGTTCGGCCAATCACAATGCACTGGGTCAGCTGGCCAATCAGAGCAGACTGCGCTTGTCGGAAGGAGGGACTTTGTAGAAAACGAAGTGTTTGAGAGAGGCGGGGCATAGAGGACCTACAATAAAGTACAGTATTTGAAAAAAGTGTTTTTTGAACATTAAAGCATGTCAACATATTCTGTTACACCAAATACACAAAATAATGATCTTTAAAAAGGCATCATATGACCCCTTTAAGTCACTGCGCACATAACAGTTAACAGTGATCTGAACACTTTCTAATTGTCCTAAACCGATTGTAAGTTTTCATTCAATACAAATTACATGCATCATTTTGTCAAAACACTGTGCACAAAATTCTCAAATGTTTTCACAATAGTTCACACAGCCAACCAAAACTTTAATATATTTAGACAATTGCAACTTTGCGTATTAGTTTTACACAAATCACAAAAATGTACAATTTCTCCAAATGCAACAACTCTTTCATTGTTAAATTCTCAGTTGCACTTGGTATGTTTTCAATTAGCCCCAAATTAATATCTGCCGAGTGAGTAATACAGACAACAAAGGAAATGCTAATATCCTAATTGGTTACACATGTATCTCAATTACAACAATTGTAAAAGGGGAAAAGGAAAAAGGAAAAAATATAGGTACAAGAATGAGAAGGGGAAAAGAAAGAGGTGTAATATAAAAAGAGTGCGTAGAGGGAGGGGTGTAATAGACAGAGGTAGAAGGAGATGAGAGGAGAAGAGGACATGGTAGAAAAGGAGCAAGAACAGTTTAGGAAGAGGGAAGAGTAGAGGGAGACAAGATGGGAAGATAGGATTGGAGGGGAATGATATAGTGGAAGAGAAGGAAATGTAAGAAGACATGAACAAAGGAAGAGGACTGCAGGGTGGAAAAGGAGGACGTAGAGGTAGAGGGTCCATATATTTTTAATCGAAATCAGAGCCACCCTGACCATGTTACATATCATGGTCTCTCCTTGAAAGAAGCTGGCCAGAGTGTTCAGTCAAACATAAACTGATAAACAGAGGGAAAACCAATATGTAACAATACCATTCCGTTTCTATTAGTCTAGCCTAGAGTCTTGTCCATTTCCAAGTCTATTTCTAGTTCTTGTTCTTACTTATCCAAAATTGAAGTTCAAGAACATTCAGGTGGACGAATTGAACATTTTCAATTGAACAGAACATGTCATTGTTGACATGGTGGTTCAGAACAACATCAACAACACCTCAAAGAAATTCAGCAAAGAATAATACAGGAAAATCAACTATTTCATAATATTCACCAATGCAGTCTTCACAACTGATCATCTTCTAAGAAGAAATGTCATCCGGATGAAGCAAGTAAAGAACTCAGATGGATTGAAGGAGTTGTGATTCCAGTTTGTTCAGTTATGTGCATGCCACACAATTACTGCACTTTTACTGTAAATACAAAGATATGCATTTCATGGGCATTATGTATCCATATACTATTACACTCTGGAAAAACTCAGGCGTCTCTATGCCTATAGTGCTGTGTCAAAGTGGGAACTCAAAGTTCGGCAACAGTTACAGTGTCAAGTTTACAGTCAATACCACTACTGTCAAACCACGGCGATATTGTACCTTCTGATCTTTTTACTCTAGAGGACTTTGGTGCTGGATAGCAGTGCAACTTATTATGAGCAGCTGTATGTTGATGAAGCTGGCTTCAATCTCAACAAACAAAAAGGGAGAAGAGAATAGAATCAGATTGGCCATCATGCCACAGTCAATGTCCCTGGACAACGAGGAGGCAACGTCACAATGTGTGTCACAATTTCAACCACTGGATGTCTTGAGCCCATACAACACTAAAAGGCTCCTACATTTTTAAACCCCCTCAACGAAACCCTCTTACCACAGGTTAATCAGGAGCAAATTAAGCAGTATTTTGTAGTTTTTTGGGACAATGTCCAATTTCTCCATTTAGCACTGGTGCAAGAGTTGTTTAAATGTCACCCACATTTCAGGATGGTATTCCTTCAACCATATTCTTCTTCAATGAATCTACTTGAGGAGTTCTTCTCCTCTTGAAAATGGAAAGTATATAATCGCAGTCCTTACAACCAAGCAAGTCGTCTTCAAGCTATGAAAGAGCCCTAGGGAAATGTTGAGGCAGAAGCTTGTCAAGTGTGGATTCAACATTCATGCTGTGTTTTTTCCCACAATGCATGACTTGTGAGAATATATGCTGTGATGTAGAGTAGATGAAATTCTCTGGCCAGATGTAATTGAGAGACATGATCAAAGTCAATTAATTCAGTACATGTATTGTTTACTTATTTTTACTTATATAAATTCATTCATTTTTAAGATCACTAGAAACTTTAAGACAGGTGTGCTAGAGCTGGTTGGAGCTGGTGGTCCTCCAGAATGGACATCCCCTGTATTATATTCATATTGTAAATTCACTTTCACAAACATTGTTTTTTGACTGTGAAATGATCAGTAATCCACATTTCTGCCAGTTTTGGTGTTTTCTCTACAGCCATTTGTGCAGACGGGTGGCATTGTTTAAAATTTTTTTACAGTATTTCCATGGCAGCCTATTTCTGCAGTATGATTGACTTCAGATTCAGTCACCCCTAAGTAACATGTAAAAACTAAATGTGGTTGGACTCTTTCTGTTAATACTCTTCTGTATAATAATTTGGAATAAAATAATAATATTCAAAAGTAGGTAGACAAACAAACCTAATTGTTATCCAATTATCCGTCCTCCAATCTTGACCATCATTGCTAATCTTACCATATAGAAATCCCATCAGGTTGTCAATTTCGTCAAAATATACAAAATGCTGTTCCTCTTTTGGGTTCTACTGGAACCTGATACGTGCATGACATTTGAATGCACTCATAATTTGCATAGCCCAGGCAAAGGGCCTTACTGACGAAAGCACAACCAGTGTAGCGAAACGACATGTGAAATGACAAACAGGTGAATGAGTGATAACATCACATTATGTCCTCCTTCCACTTTTAGGGATTTGTTGTTTTTTTCTACTTTTTACATTTCTATATTTACACCAAATTACACAACAAACAGGTATTAAATCCCAGTGAGCCTGATGTATTTGTGTCAGACACCTCCTGTTGAGATCCTTCTGTTTTTCACTTCCCTTGTCCGCCGAAATTCCGCATGGAAAGAGAGGCATGTTACTGAGCCAATGCCAACCTTAGGTGTTCATGTATTTATCTGTCTGTCCTTTGTGCGTCTCCTCTGTCATATTCCAAACATTTATTGTATTTCATTTTAGTGTATTACATGAGACGATTTCATTATACAGCTTCATTATAAATTCTCCACGTTTAAGCACCTCGGTTCAAAATCCATTTCAGTTTAACAGTTTCAGGGTGGATAAAGTGGAATTTTCCACTCTACCTGGCAGGATGAGAAATTTTACCCTTAGTAAACATTACCCCCATTAAACAACACACAATGTCTAGCAATGCAAGGCAGTTTTGCCTGGTGAAAGTTGCAACAGAGTAGAATGCTAATGTTTATCAGCAGCAGGATCTGACATAATCCAAGAAAAGTCTGGGAACTCGCATTCTATTCGCCCTAAACAGTTGCCCGGATTATATACTGTTCCCGGGGGAGCTTTGAAAATGTGTATCTTTTCAGATAATATTGCCTACAACCCTTTGCACAATGTAAAAAAAAAAAGTAAAGAAGTTTTGTGATGTTTGAACGTTACATCAAGGGTTTCTATTTCTGCTCCTGGAGGGCAACCTTTCTATAGATATTTACCCTGTTTCTTGTGATTGTGAAAACCTTGATTATCTGGTTCAGGTGTGTTTGATTGGGGTTACAGCTAAACTCTGCAGGATGTTTTGGCCCTGAAGGAGCACAAGATTGGACACACTTGAAATAAGTAAAAAGGGGCCTATCTTATTAAACACTTAGGGCCTGTTTACACCTGGTCATTTCATGCGTTTTCGCTGATCGGATATCTATCAGATTCAAACGATTCCATTTACACTTGGCCACATACATGTGTCATCGCAAAATGAATTTAAATCTGATCTTCAATTCCCACGCTATTTTTAAATTTATGTCAACAAAATCAAAAGATAAGCGCTGCATTTTATTAATTATCAGCTCATTTCAAGATCAAAGACCGCAATAGGAGAGCGCGCGGCATCAGCACTGGAAAGATAAGTTTGTCTTACTACTTTTAATGAAGATGATTGTGTGTTGACCGTCTGCATATTACTTTGTTTTATTCGTGGCAGTTTGCGCGTCGGCTTGCTGAAGAGATGCTCAGCTACTCGTCCGCGGTGATGCATGTTGCATTAGCGCAGTCATATCTGACTATAATGTCATATAGCCTATAACACGGTCTCACACGTTTATTATTTTAACATTTTGGGAGGAGTAAAATTTACATATGTGGTTTCAACAACCAGGTGCATTTACACTTGTCCAGTTTCGTCTGGAATGCGGCCCAGGCCACCTCCTGAAGTGGTTTGAGCAATCGGCTTAATATCCGACTGGAATGCATTTCGGAGGGCATTTACACCTGCCTTTTCACGATCGGATAGCTATCAGATCAGAAAAAACGCATGAAGTGACCAGGTATAAACAGCAACCTTAGATTTATATACTTATCCTCATCACCCGTGCATATAAATTGAGTTAAAATGTGTGGGTGTTGTTCAACAGATTTGACACAAAGCCAGTCAGACTACACACTACTAATGTTAAATGCCAAAAGAAAGCATGTATTTGTAGTATTTGCATGAGGCAATTCTTGCAGCTCAAACTAAGCCCAGAAATGTGACATTCTGAGCAATTAAAGGGCGCTTTGAGAGTGTGAATATCTGTGTGTATTTACCGTGAAATAAACTCCCTGCATCAAAACAACCCACATAAATGTTAAAGTGAAAGATCCTAAAATAATATGTCTATTGACAGAGAACAGAGCAGTGCTGGCAGACTGAACCACAGTTTCAACCAAAAACTGATCCCAGGTCAGCTTTAGAGAGACTACAGTCTGACTGAGCTGTTAAAACAACAGCAGTTATGTGAGAAATATCTAGGATCTTCAGGATGGAAATACTTGAGAATAAAGAATCTCTACGATTTATACCTTCAGTCTTACCTTTTTATCATCCTACAGCAACTGCAACCCATCTGGACAGTTGTGTAGAAAACCTGTGGAAAGGCAAAACAGGTTTAGTGTGTGGTTGTATGTATATATAATTGAATAAAGTGAATTAGAGATACCACGTAGACTATTGTGTGGATTGAAATACGCAAGTTACATTTATTAAAAAGGTATCTGAAGAATCCAGAGCTGGGCTGCTGAATCAGTACTTAGGAGAGTGAACATGATTTCAACAAAGGGCTATTCAGTAACTGCTAATTCTTCACCTCAGCTGTTAGAACATGAGGACGTGATCACGGTTATATCTGTTTAAATAGACCTGCTGACAAAGAATAGGATAAAACCAGTGTGCCAACAATTGTGAACCACTGCAGACCATCTTTACAAGCGGATCCAGGTACATTTCGCTTGCGCACATCAACCAAATGAACCAAAACTTGGGTCGGCTTCAAATCACCTTCAAGAATACATAAATTTTATTTTTTTTACTTCACCCTTCAAAGACAGCACACTCTGTCAGATTCTGTTGATATGTTTACACAGAAACAGGTATACGCAAGTTACATTTATTAAAAAGGTATCTGAAGAATCCAGAGCTGGGCTGCTGAATCAGTACTTAGGAGAGTGAACATGATTTCAACAAAGGGCTATTCAGTAACTGCTAATTCTTCACCTCAGCTGTTAGAACATGAGGACGTGATCACGGTTATATCTGTTTAAATAGACCTGCTGACAAAGAATAGGATAAAACCAGTGTGCCAACAATTGTGAACCACTGCAGACCATCTTTACAAGCGGATCCAGGTACATTTCGCTTGCGCACATCAACCAAATGAACCAAAACTTGGGTCGGCTTCAAATCACCTTCAAGAATACATAAATTTTTTTTTTTTACTTCACCCTTCAAAGACAGCACACTCTGTCAGATTCTGTTGATATGTTTACACAGAAACAGGCGTGATCTTTCAGAAGAACTACTGTATATCAATATCTGCCAGGCCATAGGGACATTTTATTTGGTTTCATATTGACGTGGCATATGGAGTTAACTTGACATATGAAATTGTCAGGTATGTGGCTTCAGGGCACAAGGACAGTCACACATGTGTTCATGACATTCTGGATTACTCCTCACAGTGGCAGGTCAAATAAAATGTTATTAATACATGCTCATTTTGTGAAAAGCAACAAAGATGGATTGACCTTTCCACGGCCTGTCGTGCCATTTCAGGCTTTGCGCTCTTTTTATGAGCAAGTAGCCTTGTAAATAATTGATAGCTCAGTCTGGGAAAAGATCCGTCTAATAGGACAAAGACACTCCCAGACTCGCTCTTTCTCCTGAGACAGAAAGCAACATGGAAAACAGGCACCTCACGTGTCCCAATGTGTTAGAGACCAACAAACATATAAAGCTAAGACAGTAATGCAAGAGAATTTCACAATGTAACACAATTACATTGTGAAAACCATTTACATCAGTGTTATTTTGATATTATTTCATTTAAGTTTTTGTTATTGTATGTGCTTTTGTCATTTTATTAGTTTATGCTTTTTAATATTTCTATTTAGTTTGAATTTATTTTTATTTCCATTTTAGAAATCGAGTGGGGGAACTATGACGTCAGAACCCGGAAGAGTAATTCGCCGCAGATTCCTTCGAGATTTTTCTATGGGGGGTTTTCGAATTAATGAGTAAAATAAAGCCTGTGGTAAACATAACTTGACGATACGTTTACGTTTAGTACAATGTAAACTGCACTCACTCACAGCGCAAACGTTCTTATCTAGTTAATTATTAAAAACATACGTTTTGAAAAATGAACATAACTGCTTCAAAATTTTCGTTTTGGGTATGGATGTGTGGGTCCCACTATATATTAAGTGGCCTTAACTACTATGTACTTACATCAAAAAATAAGTACAGTGTACTTATTGTGTTCATATTGTATTGCAAAACACTTTTACTGATATTGAGGTGGGAAACAGGTAAGGTTAGGGACAGGTTTGGTGGTTTGGGTAGGATTAAGAGTGGGTTAAGGTGTAAGGGATGGGTCAACAGTGTAATTATAAATGTAATTACAGAAATTACATGCAGGTATTTTTTAAATATACGTACAATGTAAAAGCATGTATGTACACAATAAGTGCATTATACCAAATTATTCATTTAAATGTAAGTATATAGTAGTTAAGGCCACTTGTGTGTAATTTACGTTGTAGAACAAAATGTAAAAGTATCGTCAAGTTATGTTTACCACAGGCTTTATTTTACCCGTAAATTGAAAAACCCCATTATAAAACCCATAGGAAAATCTTGCGAAGGAATCTGCGGCGAATTACTCTTCCGGGTTCTGACGTCATAGTTCCCCCAGTCTATTTCAGTACTTAATGTAAACTTATTTCAGTTAGTTGGCAAGGCAACATGTCTAATTTTCGTTTAGTTATTTTTTATGTAATATTTATGTTTTATTTCAGTTAGCCATGTTTTGTAATACTTTTAATTTGAGTTAACAGCACTTATTTACACAACATTTAATTATGTCACATTTACGGGTAAAAGCAGTAATCTGTACCAGAATCGAATGCAATTAAATGTTTGTAGTTTAGTATTAAGGAAGCAAGAATCACCTACGTCATTCACTCGTGGCATCACATGTGCTTGAAACTAAGACAAATAAAATAAAATTTAACAGGTATATCAAGTTTGGCAATATTTGTTGTACAGGTTTACTGACAAGCCAGCCACTGTGACAGAAAGGCAAATGGTTTAACAAGTGGAAAAATTCAAAACACACTGCACGTAGACTAGACATCAACATGCAACACTTTTTGTGTCTATATGATGTCTGTATGTGAAATAAATCAAGATTTATTGTCTTATTTGAGTAAAAAAAAAAATGTTTGAGAACAGAAGCCCTCTGTTGTTTTGATGTGAAATTAATTAAATTTTAAATGCAATGCAATTCTATTTACTATATTACAAAGTTGCTCGGTTTACAAAATTTGGAATATGTTTATACAAAAACTATCCTAAAACTTCACACTCACACTTCACAGCTTTCAAACCATTGCCATGGACACAAGAAACTGGATGGAGTTTTGCTAGGTGATTAGCAGCCAGATGTGGTACGCAGCAGACACCTGTTTGACAGCAGGAGTATGACACGGGCACCTGGCAACCTCTTTGTCAGCTGCTAGAGATTATTGCATTTTACAGCAGCCAACATAGCACAGTCTTCCTTTCCATAAATACAATGACAAATCAGTTTCTTGCGTAGTTAATCTGTAATGTGACAAGACAATTTCATAGATCCTCTGTACTTGTGTTCTTGAGTATTGGAATTGAACCTCGGCAGGTGTGGATAATGTAGTACGAGATCTTGTCAGAATGCAAGACCACTTAAGAACGCATATTGAGAAATGGCCATTTTGTATGTCTTCTTTGTCTGATGCTCCCATTTCAGGTCTTCTGCTGCTGTTGTAATTATCTTAAATACAAGTTTCCTAGTTGGAAATTGGACATGAATGGCCACTCTAGTCGTATTTGCAACTGGGAAACTCTGAGATAGTTTTGAGTTTCCAAGTTGGGCGAGCCATAAACTTTAAATATGGCGGAGGAGAGAATCATAGCAGTAGCAGTAGTTTTATTAGTTTTTCTCACAACATCTACATTGCTTTCTCCTGCCATTACAGTCATGCATATTTAAGTATATAAATAACCATTTGTTGTGTAGTATGTATTGAACACAGTGAAAATAGCATTTATTTGATCAAAATGTAGGAATCGTCAGCAAGCTGAATTTTTTAGCGCTGTGAATGTTTATATGGTTACCAAATAATGGGATGCTACATTTTATTCAAACCCTGTTGGATATTGACTAATCATCTTCCAATATATACCTTTTGGCTTTAAGATTTCCCCAAGAAACAGGCAATAATGAATAGGCTGTCCACCATGATTTCTGTTCTTTCCAACAACAAAGCACTTGAACACGACAAACTCGTAATTACAACTTCAGAAGTGGAAAGTATGAAGTTTCAGAAAGCACATGAAGGCATCATTAGAGTCTGTACTAATGAACTGATGACCTGAATCAGGTGTGTTTAAATAAGGAGACATGAAAAATGTGCAGGGGGCTACAGGAACATTGAGAACCACTGATTTAGTCCAGTTAAATCCCAGACTAAATGACTAGAGAAGTCTGCCATATACTGTATCACTAGAAATAAATCTGTGGTTTTATTTCAATTAAGGAAACTGTTTTTAGTTTTACATAAGAAAAGAATAAAAAAAATAATTAAAGAAGTAAATTACTGCTAGCAACTTGGCTGAAAATCTATTTTGAAATCATAGCTATGTGACTAGAGAAAACAGAAAAAGGGAAAACTTCAACACCCATAATTAGGGATGCAACGATACAATGTTTTCAGATCCGATCCGATCCAGAAAATTCTGAGGATCGGCTGATTCTGATCCGATACCAGCGCAGTTTTTTTTAATCAATGTAGAATTTCTATACTTCTCTGTGTTGACCTGTTTATCACTCTTTTGTGTGTTAGACACAAACTTCTAAATATAGACAACTTCATTTGAATGAAAAATAACAAATGAAAAAATATATAATCATAATCTATGACAAAAATACTATTATAAACTAGGTTAGTGGATAATTTAGCAGCAAAATTTATTCTAGAAAAATCTTGAGTGCACAATTTTATCAAATCTAAACATTTAGTGAAATAATATTATTTAGAACGGAACAAATAAAAGTGAATATCGTGTAAAATGTTACACATTGCTCTTTTTTATTGTTGTAAAATACATGAATGAAAACAAGTAAATGTATTAATATATAAATATAAACATTTAAAAGACATTTCTTTTAAATGTATAACAGTAATGAAGGCAGTAACATATATAATAGATAGGAGTCCTATCTATCATATGTCGCTGCCTCCATTACTGTGCTATTCATTAGATTAATAACAGCCTTTCTTCTATAATACGACAGAACAAGAAACGTTATAAATAATCTTTCATTGCG